AGGATTAGCCTATTGAGCCACGGCGCCGGCTCCATCAGTCTGTTTTAGAGATGCGATAACCTAGATTTGGAAACTTGTCCATGGTCTCATAGCTAAGAAGTGGGACCAACATTTGAATGCAGAGCCTTCTGACTCATGATCCCAAGTCTTAGCTGCTGTGTTACCCCTCTCATTCTTGATGCTTGGCCAATGTCTACCAAGGAGAGACAGACCCTAGAGAGCACTTAGTTTCCTTTGCTTTCAAGGACTTTTCCATTTTCAGCCCCCTTTTCTTCCTCCCTGTAATGGTAAACCTAAGGCATCTTCAGCCATGCTAGTGAACCTGACAGCGACCCTTGTCAACCTGAGTGCCACCTTGATTGTCCTGACTCCTTCAAATGAGCAGAACTATTGGAAGCCTGCTGTCTTTTACATAACTCTAAAAAAGTAGGGGCTGGTACTCTGGCATAGTGGGTAAAGCCACCGCCTGCAGTGCTGGCATCCCATATGGGTGCCAGTTTGAGTCCTGGCTGCTGCACTTCCTATCCAGCTCTCTGCTATGGCCTGGGAAAGCAGTAGAAGATGGCCCAAGCCCTTGGGCCCCTGCACCCACCTGGGAGACCTGGAAGAAGCTCCTGTCTCCTGCCTTCAGATCGGTACAGCTCTGGCCATCCCGGCCAATTGGGGAGTGAACCAGCGGATGGAAGACCTCTCTCTCTCTGACTCTCCTTCTCTCTCTGTGTAACTCTGACTTTCAAGTAAAATAAATAAATCTTAAAAAAATTAAAAAGTAATCTTAAATTTTCTAGCTCTCTGATCACGTCCAAAATTCCTGCCCTTGATATGTGCAAATAATAGAAGAATTAGTTCTGCCTTGTGGTTCCTGTTAATGTTACAACTAAATTGTCTCTGAAAAGTAATTGTTCTGTTGAAGAAAATATTCAAACTTCCTTTGACTTTGGTGTCTAGTAAACTGTTAGCAGAAGAAAAGTTTATTCTTTTTTTTTTTTTTCTGACAGGCAGAGTGGACAGTGAGAGAGAGAGAGACAGAGAGAAAGGTCTTCCTTTTGCCATTGGTTCACCCTCCAATGGCCGCCGTGGCCGGCACGCTGCGGCTGGTGCATCGCATCGCGCTGATCCGATGGCAGGAGCCGGGTGCTTCTCCTGGTTTCCCATGGGGTGCAGGGCCCAAGCACTTGGGCCATCCTCCACTGCACTCCCGGGCCACAGCAGAGAGCTGGCCTGGAAGAGGGGCAACTGGCAAAGAATCCGGCACCCCAACTGGGACTAGAACCCAGTGTGCCGGCGCCGCAAGGTGGAGGATTAGCCTAGTGAGCCGCGGCGCCAGCAGAGAAAGTTTATTCTTAAATACAAATTGCTGTGGCCATTTATGTCTCATTTCCTTTTAAATTCTGCTAATTAGAGATCAGAAATTGCTGGTCAGCCTATTCCATGGTTTCAACTTGAGTAGCTATAAAAGGATAATCAGCTACTTCACAGCAGCTTTAAGTCTGGCTTTGATTGTGTGCCTGTGTGGAAAAAAAACTCAACCTATGTTTAAGAATTCTGATTTTATTGTCACATTTTAAAGTAGTTTTATTTGAGAAAGGAGGAGAGGGATAGATGGAGACTGAAATAGAGAGCTTTACTTACCTGCAGGGGAGATACCATGATCGTGAAGGTGGTTTTCCCAGGGTGAGGCTCATCCATTGCACTCTGGATGTGCTGACCCCTGCGATTTCCCCAAATGTGGGAAACTCGACTGCATACTTTGTGGTAGTGGGGGACTGTGTTCCCACTCTCACCTGAGGTGTGTGGGGGGGAAGCGAGAGCTGCCATCTGCTGGCTCACTCCCCAAGTACCCTCAAAGATCTGAGGGTGAAGACAACACCAGGGTAGCAGAGACCCAATAAGCTGAATTATCACTGTTGCCTCCCAGGGTCTGCAACATCAGGAAACTGGAGACAGCAGCCTTAGTCTGGACTCAGACCCAGGCACTCTAATATGGGATGTAGGCATCCTAACCAGTGTCTTAACCACTAGCCCGAATGCCTGCCCTATTTTCATATTCTTCATGGTGTATGCAGATGTTAAACTTCAGATTTTTAGTGCCAAGTGAATAGATAGGGTGGATTTATAAAGATGAGTATTCTGCTACGTAATTCTCTATGTTCTAACCAGAGAAGACGTTCAGGAGTGAGAAATGAGATGCTCTTGTTTAATCTTCATCACATTAGATTTTCATAAATCACATAAAATTCATTTTTCTGTTTATCTTTCTATTATTATATATATATGTGTGTGTATATACATATATATATCCTAAGATTCATGCTTGGAAAAGCTTGGTAAATGGTGTTTTCTTTAAAAGTCATAAAGTTTCTATTTTTTAAAAAGACATTTATTTATTTGAGAGGTAGAGTTACAGAGAGAGAGAAGGAAAGACAAAGAGAAAGGTCTTCCATCCACTGGTTCACTCCTCAAATGGCCACAAGGGCTGGAGCTAGGCTGATCTGAAGCAAGGAGCCAGAGGCTTTTTCTGGGTCTCTTACATGGGTGCAGGGGCCTAGGCACTCAGGCCATCTTCCACTGCTTTTCCAGGACATATGCAGAGAGCTAGATGAGAAGAGGGGCAGTGGGGGCATATGGGATGCTGGCGCCACAGGCTGAGGCTTAGCCCACTATGCCACAGCGCCGACCCAAAAGTCATAAAGTTTTTAAACAAATAGTATGTTAAGACAACCAAATGATTTATGGAGTAATTCCATATGGAAGGAATAATAGAATTAAAAATAAACATTTTGCAACTCTCATGAAGTAATGCATATAATGTCATCTGTGAGTGATAAAACTTTAAGCAAAATATTGTGGGAAATATATTATGGGCGGGGGAGGGGGTGTCAGACTGACAACACCTACAGCCACTGTCAGTCTTACTACCACTAGAGGTAGATCTTGAGGTATTCTGTACCTTCTTTTTTAAAAAATGTTCATTTCTTTATCTGTGTAAAGAGGAGAGAGAGAGAGAGAGAGAGGGAATGAACTTCCATCTGGTGGTTAACTCACTAAATGGCTGCATGGCTGGGGTTGGGCCAGGCTGAAGTCAGGAGCCTGGAGTTCCATCCGGTGTCCCATGTGAGTGACAGGCGCCCAGTAGTTGAACCATTATCTGCTGCTTTATCAGGTGCATTAACAGGGAGCTGGATGGGAAGCAGAGCAGCCAGGCTTTGATTGGGCATTCCCAGGTAGGATGCCTGGAATGGTAAACAGTGGCTTCACTCGTTGCACCACAACGCTAGCCTCTCTGTATATTGTAATATGACAAAGTAGATAAGTACTCAGCCTCGCCTGTGAGATATTCTACAGATGCTTCTCCTTTGACATGTTCATCACCTATGACGTAGCTGAACAGCATTAAACCTGCATCTAACCATGCTTTTAGCTCCATCTACCAGAATGCCAGAAAACACAGAGGGTTGAGCCGTTGGGGCTCAACCTTGACTGCATATTATTAGCATCATATGGGCAAATTTTATAACATTGATGCTCAGGTTGTGTCCCATTGAAATGAGCATCTCTGGGTCTGAACGTCAATAATTTTTTTAAAGCTCCCCCAGATGTTATGAAATAAACCAAGTTTGGAAACCAGGGAAAGAGAGGAGCAAGTTAAAGGATTTGGCATGAAATGCAGATTGTGAGAAATTACATAGGACAAGCAGCCGCTGGTTTACAACACGTATGTAGTGTTAGAAAGCAAATGCATGTGTGGGTTGTGTGTGGGAGCAGCAATAGGCAGTCAATATCAGAGAAACTGGGTTCACTTCCCCACTCTGTCTCCTAACTCCAGCTTCCTGCTAATTCAGACCCTGGGAGGCAGCAGGGATGGCAAGTAATTGGGTTCCTGCCAGGGAGACCCAGATGGAGTTCCTGGCTTCTCCTGGCTTTGACCCTAGCCCAGCCACAGCCATTGTGGACATCTGGGGTGTGAACCAGCAGAGGAGAGCTCTCTCTGCCTGTCAAATGAATAGATTAATTGATGATTTTAAAAAAAAGAGAAGAGCCAGGGGTGGGGGAGGCCATTTGTAGATTAAAAGAGACTTCAGAAACTTTGTTTTGATCTTGATTCAAAGACAACAGCCATACTATAACACGTTTTCAAGAATCAGAGAAATTTAAACACAGGCTGGATATTACAACAATAATAAGGCATCTAGCATTAATTTTGTTACTTGTGTTAATGATTTTGTGGTTGTCTTAGAAAAAAGTTCTTAGAGACACATACTGATGTTGTTAAGGATAAAATATGATGTCTGGGGTTTGCTTTAAAATATGTTTTAAAATGGTGAGACAAGAGGCTGGCGCTATGGCACAGTGGGCTAAAGCCATGGCCTGTAGTGCCGGCATCCCATATGGATGCTGGTTTGAGTTCTGGCTCTCCATTTCTGATCCAGCTCCCTGCTAATGCACCTGGGAAAGCAGCAGGAAGATGGTTCTAGTTCTTGGGCCCCTGCGCCCAAGTGGGAGACTCAGAAGAACCTCCTGATCCTGGCTTCAGACCTGTCCAATCTGGTCATTGTGGCCATTTGGGGAGTGAACCAGCAAATGGAAGATCTCTCTCTGACTTACCTCCTCTCTCTCTCTGTCTCTAACTCTGCCTTTCAAGTGAATAAATAAATCTTTTAAAAAATGATAAGATAAAAACATATAGAAAAGGTTGGTAAAAAGTTGAATACTGTTGAAGTTGGGTGATGTTTGCATGGGAGTTCATTTTAGTATCCTCTCTACTTTTGTGTGTTTTAAAAATTTTCGTAAGAGTAGGCTAAATAGGAGGCATACATGTAAAATATATGACATATCTTTTGCACTGTGACATGTTATCAACAAAAGTCTCAGAATTTCACATGAAATACAAACATGGAATAAAGGGATGCCTAGCCCACTGTGTCCATGCAAAACAGTTCTTTTTTTTTAGGAAAATATTATAAACTCAGTTATTCATTATGTTTATATCTTGTTTGCAGAGGATTCTGGGCCTCCTCCTTCCACTATTATCAACCAAAATGAAACGTTTGCTAAAGTTGTTTTTAAGCCTAGTGTGGTGCAGCAAGCCAGGATTGCCCAGAATGGAATTTTGGGAGATTTCATCATTCGATACGATGTCAACAGGGAACAGAGCATTGGGGAAATCCAGGTAAGGGCTTTGCTGCTGCTATTTCCTACTGGTTACTGGACTCTTGTAGTCAGATTAGAACTCTACTTACTTTAAGGAGAAAGAACTTTTTGGTTCTTAATAAAAACTTTCTTGAATCGAAACTATGTTTCCAAGAGACTGTTGGTGTTCCCTAGCTGGAAGCTGAGGGCACCTATTTCCTGCTCCAGTAATCCAGAGAGCAAATGAAATCTGTCCTGTAATTTTCCCTATGGTGTGTTAGATGAGGTTAGAATTTTGGTTCATCTTCAATTTTAATTAAAAGAGATGACTCTGCGGCTCATTTCCCTCTAGGTTTATTACTCTGGAGACAGGGTGGGAATGTTAAAATGTATTAATATGCACCTGGAATGTAGACAGCCTTGATGTCTCAACTTGTGACGGGCTTGCTAAAAAAACAGATAGCGAAGATCAGAATGGGGTAGATAATCAAAATTAAATTTATAGTCCTGGTTACATTTCAAAGTGTGAATCTTTCCTTGTACAGATTAAATTGGCATTTAATTCTCTTGGAGGGATTAAGATCATAGATAATTTTACTTTGGGTGTGGAATGTGACCCCAGACTCCATTTCATTCTGTCTTTGACCTTAGAAGTTCCATACACTACCCATTTTCGGTATTTATCCTCCCTAATTTGGATATTGCCATTTTTGCTTTCTTTTGCCTCTACTAGGTTCTAAATGGATATTTTGTGCATTACTTTGCTCCTAAAGACCTTCCTCCGTTGCCCAAGAATGTGGTGTTTGTGCTCGACAGCAGTGCCTCTATGGTCGGAGCCAAACTCCGGCAGGTGAGTGAGGGCCAGCTGCCCGTTTTTTCTTGTCTCACTTTTGCCTGGGACAATGATCTGCCTTGTGAGTGAAACTGAGTTCACGACAAATATCCACTTTATCATCCAGCTAGTCCTGCCTACAGAGAACATTCCTGAAGCCATTCAGTTAAGCCATTGATATAAACTTTTATTTTAGAGTTATGGTTTTAAGAGAACGGAGAGACAGACTATAGAAACACCTGGGAGTAACAGGGCAGTGACAGGTGGGTAGAGTGAGGTCAGAATGCACTGAGTGGGTGACTCAGCACTGATGTGGGCAGAATGATTCTGCTCAGTGATGATGTCCTCTGAGAACAATGGAGGAGAATCCTTGGCAGCCTTCTTGGTCTATCCTTAGAACAGGAACCTGGGGCTCACTAATTCAGAACAGTTATCCTCAGAGAATTTAGGATGAATTTTCTAAAAACAATTTTATTTATTTATTTGAGAGGTAGAGTTACAGGCAAAAAGAGGGAGAGACAGAGAGAAAGATCTTCCATCCACTGATTCATTCCCCAAATGCCTGCAATGGCCAGAGCTGGGCTGATCTGAAGCCAGGAGCCAGGGGATTCCTCTGGATCTCCTATGTGGGTACAGGAGCCCACTCACTTGGGCCATCCTCTACTGCTTTCCCAGGCCATAAGCAGAGAGCTGGAACAAAAGAGGAGCAGCCAAGACATAAACTGGTACTCTTGTGGGATGCTGGTGCTGCAGGCAGAGGCTTAGCCTCCTACACTACAATGCCAGCCCCTAGGATGAATTTTGAAATTCTAGGGCTGAAAGGAACACCAAAAGGACATGTAGTCTATGCTAAAAAATTAAATTATTCCCAAAATATTATTTACATTTTCCCTTACAAACCACTAGAAAAGATTATTATGTATCTTATTCTGGAATCCGAAATACATGTTGGAAAGTGAGAGTTTTGGCTGCCAGATTAATAATATTTCTGCATTCATCAAAAACTGAGATCTTTGAGCTTACCTTTTAAAATCCATTATCTATTTTTATCAATAATACATATGTGTTTTAGTGGGTAAAATAGTATCTCAAAGCTCTTAAGGGCCCTTTATCCCACCTGTTTCCACCTGTAGATCCCACCACACATGTGGCTGAACCTGGTTCTAACGGATAAACTGTTGCAAATATTCTTTATCAGTCTACCACTTTATAAATGGTTTCTTGGCCCATTTACATTATAAGAATAATATAGTAAAACTCATATATATCTTTTATTTATGATATCTTGTTTTCCTCTACCCCAAAATAGAAAGAAAATATATTCTAAAATGTGATGTGAGGATAGAGTTTAACTATATTCTTTCAGAATACAGCCAAACGTAATTTCTAATTCATATAGCAGGAAGATAACTTCAGCTTGTAAAGGTAGCTCTCCAAAATCATGTTCCTGTACAAGTTCAGCTTGCCAGCTCCTCCATTTGAATTGCTTCTTTCTTGCCTGAATTTCTTACTTCCTGTCTAGAGTTACTTTTCTTTAGCTTGAAGATCATCCTTATGAATGCCTTGTGATTATAAATGTATTTTAGAAATTCTCCTAGTTCTGGTTCTCTTGAAAAATTATTTACCTTACCTCATTCTCCAGGGATATTTTTACTATATATAGAATTCTAGCTTGCAGTTATTTTCTTCAGTATGGTGAAGATAGATTCCATTGCTTCTTAGCTTCCATTGTTGCTGTTAAAAAGTCAGTAAAATTTATAACTATTGTTTGGTTAAAGTGAATCTTTGATTGTTGGCTACTTTTAAGATCGTTTTTTCTCTTTGACTTTAAGTTTCTGCAGTTTTAAATTGATGGTTCTGAGTGTGTATTTATTCTTATTTCTTCTTGCTAAGGCTCCTATATCTTCATGAATGTGTGGATTCACAAGAAAATCCTCAGCTATTATCTCTGAAATTGCTTCAATCTTCTTTTTATATCTCTTGGTCTCTTCAATATATGCCAACTTCTGATTTTTCACACTTTATTCCAAATCTATCTTCCAGTTCACAAATAGTCTAAGATATTTCAAATCTACTGTGAAACTCATACATAAATTATTTCAGTTATTATCTTTTTAGCTCCAAAATTTTATTTTCTTCTTTTCCAAATTTGCCACTTTTTAGAATTTTCGGACATTTAAAAAGTGTTTAATAATTTTTTAATTTTCTCAAGCATAATAAGCAGTTATTTTAAAGTCCGTCTTGATAAACCAAATTTTAGAGCTCTGTAGGGGATGTTTTTATTGAATTCATTTCTTTTGTGATGTGTTATCTTCAATTGCAAGAGGACCACTATATTTTAAAATTTCTTTGTAGAAATAGTTTGAGGCCTGTTCCTCTAGAGAATATTTTGGTTAGTTTCTGTCAGGTGCCTGGGAGAATTAAAGTCTGGACTCATTTTAAGGGCTTGGGATTTTTCTAGATATCCCAGATGGTCGAAGTCCTTTCAAGAGCTGATATATTTCTGTTTTGCACAAAATGAAGAGTGTTCCACAGTCCTTAGAAGACTCTGGATGTTGACTTTTGGCCCCCTAAGCTACAAAGTGATGTTCAGACTCTCAGATATCTCTGTGGCCTTGGTAAACATTCCTTAGCAAACATTCCCAAATGCTGACCTCCTTAAATTTTCATCTTTTACTAGATCTCTTTTTGGTTAATTCTCTGTACTTCCAAGATTTTTCTAAAAATACATTTTGTTTTTCTTTTTTAATTGATCTCTGTAGGAAGATTGTGTCCAAATTATTTTCAGATTTCCAAGTTTTCCCTCAAAGTTTTATTTTTTATCTTAATTAAAAAAATTTTTTTTACAAAATCCACCAAAGTTTTAATCACACCAAAGTGAAGCATTCTTTCACAACAGCTGATTATTTATTTATATATTTTTATTTTTAAAAAGGAATTCTTTTATTTATTTATTTTTAAAGATTTATTTATTTCTTTGAAAGGTAGAATTACAGAGAGGCAGAGGCATAGAGACAGAGATTCCACTGGTTCATTCCCCAGATGGCCACAACAGCTGGAGTTAGGCTGATCTGAAGCCAGGAGCCAGGAGCTTCTTCTGAGTCTCCCACATGGGTGCAGGGGCCCAATGACTTGGGCCTTTTCTACTGCTTTCCGAGGCCAAAGCAGAGAGCTGAATCAGAAGTGGAGCAGCCGAGATTATAACTGGGACACAAACTGGTGCCTATATGAAAAGCCAGCACTGCAGGCTACGGCTTTACCCGCTATGCCACAGCACCAACCCCTGTTTTATTTATTTAAAAGACACAGTTACAGAGAGAGGCAGAGACAGAGAGAAAGGGATAGAGATCTTCCATCCACGGGTTCCCTCCCCAAATGGCTCCAATGGCTGGAGCCAGGAGCTTCTTCGTGTCTTCCACATGGGTGCAAGGGCCCAAGGACTTGAGCCATCTTCTGCTACTTTCCCAGGCACATTAGCAGGGAGCTGGATCAGAAGTGGAGCAGCCGGGACTCAAACTGATGCCCATATGGGATGCTGGTGCTGCAGGCTGGAGCTTTAACCTACTGTGCCACCGTGCCAGCTCTGGCTGATTCTTTATTGATGTTTGGGAAGTCTCATGGACTTTCCATTTTACTAAATACTCTGAATTTTTTTTTCACCTTATGCACTATAGATTCTTAAGTATTGTTTGTTGAGAAAATTGTTTTTGTGACTTCTGTGGCTGGATAATAGATGTTGATGGATAATTATAGCTTTTGTATTTTTTTATTTCAATTATCTTTATATACAAAAGATCAATTTAGTATATATTAAGTAATAGCTTTTGTATTTTTTAAATCACTGCTGACCCTGGAATATGTGCTAATTAGGTCTTTCATTTGATGTAGTGTGACAATTCCCATTTGAATTTTGAATGAACACTTACTAAGTAGGTACCATGCTGCTAGACTTTTTCAATGTATCTCATTAAATTCCTATGTGCCTATGAATCTTTACATATTCTTTCTTTATTCTCTGTCTCTATCTCTCTGTCTCTGTCTCTCTCACTTTAAATAACAAGCTTCAAGAGGACAGCGTTTGTGTTTCTTCTGAATAAACATAACTTGATGAAAATATTGATTAGCAGGGAGCTTAATTGGAGTGTAGCAGCTAGGACACAAACTATTGGCCATGTAGGATTCCAGTGTGACAGGAGGCGGCTTACTCATTATACCACAATGCTGGCCCCCTTAAATATTCTTTAAAAATTAGATTTTAATAGTCATAGAGCAATGCTTTCAATAGAAACTTAAATGAGAAGAGCCATGTTTTGTACCTATGCTAATCTAGAAGCCATTAGTCACATGCTGTAACTATTGATCACTGAAAATGTGGCTAATTCAACTGGGGAGCTGAGTTTTAGATTTGAGTTTATTTAAATAAATGTGCATGTATGTAGATAACTTCATGTGATTAACGATTTCCATATGGGACAGTGTAGCTGCAGGTCATTTACTCGTCACGCCTCCTGGAGAGACTGGATCATGACCATTTTCCTCTGTTTTTCTTCCTTTCTCTGTTAAAAACACCATTTGGGTGACCGTCTTTATGTAAAAATCATTGATTGCACACCCATTTTCTTGTCAGAGTCTTGGAAGTAGAAATACTGGGGCAAAGGATACTGACTCAGTTGTGGTTTTTGATACATGTCAAAGCAATATTTTTCTAAAAAGCCTATACCAATTTATGACATTTAAAATGGTTACCAGAGTAACAATTCCAAATGAATTAAAGGATTACAGGTAATAACCCTGGAACCACACCCCCAAATATGTAAGAAAATAGAGGTACATAATTAACTAGTTTTGAAGTGTGGGGAAACTTTCTAATCCTAAAAACAATATCCCAGCAACTTGGGCTACATAAAAATTTTAAACTTGTACTGAAAATAAAAAAATAACACACGTTAGCTCTAAGATGTGACAAGTGGAAATTTACAAAAAATCAATCTGAACTTAGATTATTAGAATCTGGGAAG